CCCCCGCCCTCTCCTCTCTGTGCCGCAAGCAGCAGGCGCACCTCGCAAACGGAGGGCGCCCTTACTCCCAGCAAATGGGTGATAGAAAAGCGATCGGTGCCTGTACCATTCCCAATATGCGCTGGCTGACATCGGGGCAGCATGAGTACGAACATTTTTTTTTTTTTTGCCGATGCCCGTGATGCCGCCCCCACCAAGATACCGCCCGTGTCGCCCGTATCAAAAACCGCTACTGGCTGATGTGGTGCTTTTCGCTCCTCTGTCGCCCCGGTCAAGGTCTCGCCCCGGAAGTGGTATTGATGTTGGCGGAACAGAAGCTAAGCTAACAGGCTAACGGAGCAAACATCGGAAGATGAGAGCGTAAAAGATGGCTGTCGGTTTCAGCCTGACGGTGAGTCCTTTCCTTCCGTCCGTGTGATCGGTTCTGTCTCCTGGGCAATGGGTCCCGATTTATTTATTGATCTTGGAGCACTACGCGCTAAACAAACCATACTGCGCCTGCTCAGTGTGTGAGCTAAACTAACATTAGCTTTCTCTCACACACAAACACCAACATGTTTATGTTTGCTGAGCAGTTTGAACTTGAGCTTTAATCGGCTCTGTGTGGATCCACCATAACACCGTGAAGCTCCCAGTAGGTCCCGTGCTGCTGCTGGAACTCTGCGGTCCCTGAGTTAGCACAGCGCTGGAGCCCCGGCTCGCCGTAACGTCGACGACTTAGTCGGTCACAGTGGTCACACCGTTCCTGGAGAAGCACCGAACTGTAACCTGAATGCTGAGCTTGGTTATTTAGCCTTTTCACTTACTTGCTTTAACACACTGTTTTATTTTCACATCTAGCTGTAAATGGTTTAGTTTGGATACTTTATTAGGTAAATCTTGCTAGAGGGACCCTAACCAGCCCTCTGTTTATCAGCAACGATTCGTCTGCCAGCTGTGACTCCAGCTGTTCAGTGATCACCTGTTTCATCATAAGCTGGCTGTCAAGTTTAAGCCTTTATGCTCAGATTTTATAAGATGATATATATCTCTGATTGATCAATAGGACATAAGCTGGGTGTGAAGAACATCAGAGTTTAAACCTTCATTCAGATTAAAGAATGTATCAGCAGCTGAAGGTGGAGTTACCATATTGATCATTTTATTGATCTCAATCAGTAAGGGTCTCATTGCTCTCTGTGTGTTTCAGACGACGGCGATGCGGCGTCTCGCTGAGGAAGATGTCTGTCTTCTGGAGGTCAAATGTTTGAGGACAAACAGAGGGATGGACAGGCAGCCGCAGACAGGACATCCCACTGACACACAAGAAGAGGATGGCATACCTGTCTCAGGTGATGTCATTATATCTAATGGTGTTTAAAAGGAAGGATGAATTCACCAGGGTTGATCTGATTGGCTGGTTCAGTCTGTGTGCAGGCCGCATTTGATCTGCACAGGGGAGGGTTACAGGGAGTTACCCTCCCTCCATGCTGTGTAAAGATCAGCTAAAGGAGGCAGAGCTAGCGTTTGTTCACACCCGGACTTTCCTGTTCAGGTGGGCGGATGATGGGAGAGAGAGCGGTCACCGTCGAGACTAGCGATGATGAACTGGGACGACTGGATATTGACCTGGACAGGAAGTCCAAACAGCTGAATCTGACATCCAGCAACGTGCGCGCCATCCTGCACGTGAGCAGCACGCCACCACACACACACACACACACACTTTAACGCACACTAACACATACACTCAGACATGTGTGTGTTTCAGGAGGTGATCACTGATGAGCGTGTGGTTGCCATGATGAAAGCGGCAATCAGAGACACTCAGGACCTCCCCATGTTTGTGAGTTTGTTCACCTGTTGGTGTCTACCTGTATCTGTCAGGCATTTGTTGCTTTTTTCTGTATGTATGTAAAATACATATCTTTCTGCCTGTCTCTCATCAGGAGCCAAAGATCTGGACTCGGTCCAGACTCAAACAGAGCCTTCAGGTGAGTTCAGCATCCCACAATCTTCTCTGACAGTTTACCTGTGAGCCTGACCTGTGTGTCTGCTTTCAGCCTGTGAACCGGGGTCTGTCTGCAGTGAACAAGGTAAACTCATCAACCTGTGTTGAAATGTTTTAAGTTGGATTTGAAATGTTGTTAGTTTCAGTGACGCTTTAACCTTGTACCTGTCTGTCCCGCAGGCCCCTCAGTTTATTGACATTGAACTTGAGGATAATGAAGATTCATCTGATGAAGAGTATTGTCCTGATGAAGAAGAGGAGGAAGATACAACTGAGGAGGTGAGTCTTTAACCTTTCACCTTGCTGCTGTCCTCAGGAAACTGACCTCACTGTGCAGTCATGATGTCACACATGTGAGATCCAGGTTATCAGTAAGAGACACTAATCCAAACTCTGAGAACCAGAAACAGGATGAAGAGCACCTGTGCAGTCTCACCTGCAGCAGGTGACTCTGACACTCTGTGAGGCCTCATTTCTCGCTCAAACATGATGCCACACACAAACACACACACACTCACTCGGAGTGTCAGAACTTGCATAAATGAAGATTTCAGGACTTCCATCTGTACAAACCTTTTCATCTTGACAGACATTCCTCAGTGATGCTGACAGCTTGGCTTCACCTCCCAGAATGCACCTGGACTCCCAGAACAAGTCTCCAACACACCTGAGGATGGACAGCTCCCTGCAGGTTTGCTGATGTCTGACCACCACAAAGTGGTATAGTGACCTCTGACCCTGCAAGCTGCTCTGACCTCTGGCTTATTGCTTAGAGATATGAAGGAAACCTGCACGACCAGATGAGTTCCACCTGCGCGCCTCAGCTCCTCCCTCCTCCTGAATCGTCCTTCCTGGAGAGACTCAAGGCTGTTGATGAGGAGTTGGACTGCAGCCCCTCCTACACCTACAGTCAGGTAACATATCTAACCAGGCAACACCAGGGAACAGCATATCAAACTGTTTTTAAACTCTTCCTGTTACTGAAGGACCTGTGTGATATCAGACTTTGTGTTCTCACCTTATTAAAAGGATGCGGGGTAAATACCTGTGATGTGTCCCGTCTGGTTTGATCTTGCACCTGTGTGTGTGTTTCAGTCTCTGGACAGGAAATCTGATGTTGATGGTGGCGTTGATAATGGCTCCAGCAGTTTGGCGCGCCGCACACGCTCCAAGCATCCTCTGGTAGACATACCTCTGGGTCAGCTGGAGGCGGAGCTTCTGCCTCCTGACATAACTGCCGACATGTACGATGAAAGCACTGCCCAGCGGGAGGAGGACCGTCATTGGGCAAAGTGGCTGCAGGGCCTAATGGCCCCCGACTTTGAAGGTTAGAAGTCATGATGGCGCTGGCTGCTCGAGGCTTCAAATTTTAAATGTGGTGGGGTGGCTGTAGCTCAGGAGGTAGAACAGGTCACCTACTGATTGGTTGGTGGTTTGATCCTTGCCTCCTCCAGTCTGCATGTCAAGTATCCTAACCCCAAGTTGCTCTCCGATGCATCCATTGTAGTGTGTGAATGTCGTTAGAAAGCACTCAGTTTAGACAAAGTCCTTACGAGAATGGGTGTGATTGGGTGAATGTGGCATGTTGCATAAAGAGCTTCGAGTACTCCGGGAGAGTAGAAAAGCACTATATAAGAATCAGTCCATTTACCAATTGTGAACCTGTTTTTTTTTTTTTTTTTAAACCAATAAAAAATCAAGCTGCTGAAGCATGCTGATGGTGAACATCCAGGATTGGACAAACTTTATTGATATGTCGTAAATGAAAAACAAGCTCAGAAAAATGTTTTTGAGTTGAAAAGGAAGGTTATGGTTTTGTCTAACGGCAAACAGCTGATGTTTGTTTTCAGAAGAGGCCGAAGATGACGATGACCCCGAGTACAACTTCCCAGAGGACCTGGATGAACCCGACCTGGAGGACTACAGGACGGACCGGGCTGTGCAGATCACCAGTAGGTGATGTGCAGTTAGGAGGAGGCGGAGCTTTAGGAGTGTCAGAATCCTCACTGTGAATTCTGCGTCTTGTTTTTCAGAGAAGGAAGTAAATGAGCTGCTAGAAGAACTCTTTGAAACTGTGAGTTCTTATTTTGTTTCCGCAAATTTGACTCGATGCCGATTTACACTCACGGGATTAGTCTTTAACGTCAGTATGTGGGCGAAGCTTCAAACTTTTTCTTGTTTTCCTCTCCTCTGCAGCTCCAGGAAGAAGAAGAGGTGGTGGCTGAGGAGGAGGAGCATGAGGAAGAGGAGCCCCCGTCACAGACTGGCCCTAAGTTCAACGTGCCACAGGCTTTACGGTACTGATAGTTGCATGCCAGTGCATGATGCTCAGCTTAGAAACATACAAACACATGTTAAAAAACACAGTTTTTAAATTTTTTTAAAAAATATCACCACAATCGCATCACCCATGGAAACATCTGGAGCTTCATGAAACCACAGAGAGAAGCAGCTGGAGTCTGATGTTTAGAACATCTGGCAGCAGCTGCTCTCTCTGGGGCGATTGTGGCTCAAGAGTTGGGAGTTCGCCTTGTAATTGGAAGGTTCGGGCCCGGCTTGGACAGTCTCTGTTGTTGTGTCCTGGGGCAAGACACTTCACCCGTTGCCTACTGGTGGTGGTCAGAGGGTCCGGTGGCGCCAGTGTCCGGCAGCCTCGCCTCTGTCAGTGCGCCCCAGGGTGGCTGTGGCTACAATGTAGCTGCCATCACCAGTGTGTGGATGTGTGTGTGACTGGGTGGATGACTGAATGTGTAAAGCGCTTTGGGGTCCTTAGGGACTAGTAAAGCGCTATATAAATACAGGCCGGAACGTAAATAAAGATAAAACAAGCCGTACGAAATGGACAAAGAGAATAGAGAACAGCAAGCGAGGGAGAGCACTTGCTATTATTCATGACGGCATTGAACAGCTATGCATCAATACCAGTGTCTTTAATTTTCCACAAATGACAGTAAAAGAAATTTCTGAGAGGGTTCCATCGATTATTGAGAATAACCCAGAGCTAAAAAAAGTTGTTGTTCACGCTGGAGCTGCTGACATCTTTCTGAAAAAATCCGAAATTTTGAAGAAGGACTTCTTGGATTTACTTCAGAACTTTAACCACAAGGTAGAACTCCACATATCTGGACTAATTCCAGCAGCGCCCTGAGATGAAGAATATAGCAGGATGAAATCGTTCAGCAGGTTTGTTAAAACTGTCTGTGCTGAAAGGTCAATTCGATATCTAAATAATTTAAAGATTTTTTGTGGAAGGAAGCACCTGTTTACAAGAAATGAACGTAACATTAATAAGAAAGATCAGAGGCTTTATCTTCTGAACTTGTTGTCTCATGTGAACTCACCGCCCTGTTCTCAAATTGAGACAAAGACGTCAGTATCAGCTGAGACACACAGTGGATGCCAACCTGCTGGATCACACAGAGACTATGACGTACTTGCACCCTTCAGCGATAAGCCCGCCAGAGACATATCAGCCGACCCAAAAACAACGGCGCCTGACGACTTTCGAAAGAAACACAGAGTTTCAGCAACTCCAAGTGAACCCCTTCAAACCCAAATAAACAGAGGGATTCGTCGGACCACACCCACCTACTAATTATAAACAATATGGCTCTCCACTCCACCTAACCGAGTCTGAAAGGTTAAAGCAGAGTGGTTAAGTCTATATTTTTAGTTGATATCACTGAAAAAGAAATTGCAGCAATTCTAAAAAAGACTAAAAATAAGGCATCTACTGATTGCGATGGTTTAGATATGGTTATAGTTAAAAAGACATTGGATTGTATAATTACTCCTCTTTGTTATATTTTCAATCTTTCATTCCGTACTGGCATATTTCTTGAGAGAATGAAAGTGGCAAAAGTGATACCTCTGTATAAAAAGGGAGATAAACGTAGTTTTAATAATTATAGGCCAGTGTCACTTCTGTCACAGTTTTCTAAAATACTTGAAAAACTTTTTGTGGAAAGACTTGATAGCTTTATTGAAAAACATCAATTACTAAGTGAAGTCAATATGAATTTCGGAAAAACAGATCAACGGTATTAGCATTGATGACTACTATTGACGACATTTCATGTGCAATAGATAATAACAAATATACAATAGGGGTATTTATTGACTTAATAAAGCTTTTGATACGCTGCAACATTCTGTTTTGATTTCTAAGCTTAATACTTATGGGGTGAGAGGAATTAAACTGGTTAAGTAGTTATCTAGAATGTGCATTATTTAGGCAATTCCTCTGAAAGACATAAAGTTGAATGTGGGGTTCCTCAAGTGTCTGTTTTGGGATCAAAACTTTTTAATTTATATATAAATGATATTTGCGATGTGTCCAAAATGTTTTCGTTGTTTTGTTTTGTTTGCAGATGATACAAATTTTTATTGTGCTGGGGATAAATTGAAGGAATTGGCTGAATTAATGGTTTCTGAAATGGAAAAAGTAAAAAAAAAATGGTTTGAAGTAAACAAATTATCTTTGAACTTGGCAAAAACGAAATTTATGATTTTTGGAAATCAGGTAAAAGAGGATGAAGTAACTCTGTCCATTGATGGAGTTCCAATTGAGAGAGTTACTGAACTCCATTTTTGGGGGTAGTATTGGATGATAAATTAAAATGGAAATCTCATATTGAACATGTTAGAAAAAAGATGGTTAAAAATATATATTTTGCGTAATGTCAGAGATGTACTAGATTATAAGGCAATGCGTATTTTATATTTCTCACCAATTTTCTCCTATCTCAGTTATTGTGCTGAAGTGTGGGGGAATACATATGCAACTAATATAAATCCTCTATACTTGTTACAGAAGAAAGTGGTACGAATGGTTCATAATGTTAAATATAGAGTACATACAAATAATCTGTTTATAAAAATTGAAATTGTTGAAATTTGAAGACTTAGTGAAATTACAGACATTATTATTTATGTTCAAGACAAGAAATAATACATTACCTTTTAAGTTACAAAGTTTGTTTGTATTGTGTTCAGGAAGTGGGGCTAGCAGAAGGAAGTTTGACTTTAAGCATCAGTTTGCTAGGACCACACAAAGGCAAATGTGTCCGACAGTTAAAGGTATAAGAATATGGAATTCTCTTCAAGATAATCTTAAGAGCTGTACAAATATATACACCGTTTTAAAATGTGTTACATACTTGAAAGGATAAATCAATATGAGGAACATAAAAGTAATCTGGGCTAAATGTGGAAGGAAAATTTTTCATTGCCATTTAGTGCTGTATATTGTGATTATACTGATTTGTTGTTAGTTTTGCATTGTTACATAAAGATACATGTTAGAGGGTTTTTGGGTTGTTGGCGCCCTCTTGTAAGAATAATTAGATTGCAGATAGGGGTCAGGGGCTAATAAGAATTTATTCTTCTTCCTGCTCCTTTTCACCCATGGCTGCAGTGTTATATTAATGGGCAGGAGGATTTGTATGAAGGAAATGAAACACTGTTGAACCATGTGTGAAATAAATAAATGAAATGAAAAGAAATGATATCTGATACCGACCAGACGCCGTTATCAGATTGCATCATTCCTACCAAAATGTGTACAGTCACTCTCATTCATATACTGAAAGTAAAACACCAGTTATTATAAGCAATAGATCCTTACACACTAAAAGTACTTATAATCAAACAGTACAGAATCTGAATATAATACTGTGCTAAAATAATCTCTCAATCACTGAAAGAAATATTAAAACAGCTGCACTAAATATTAGATCCCTACACTGCAAAAACCCACCTCCTTAATGCTACATAAATACACTTATTTTTGGTGAAGATTTGCTTAAAACAAGTGAAATTATCTGCCAGTGGAGTAAGTGTTTTTTTTAATCAAGATTTCTTGAAATAAGAACAATATCTAGATTTAAATAAAGCTAAAAATAAGTCTTTTACACTTAGAACACTTGAAACTTAAAATAAGCTTTAACCACTTGTTCTAAGATAAATATATTATCTTATTCTAAGGAACAAATCACGGCAAATAATCTAAAAATTAGTACATTAAATCATTTTAAAGATACACTGCAAAAAGTACCCATCTTAAAATAAGTTTAAAAAAAATAGATTGTAGTCTAAATCTTCTTAAATTTAGTGAAATAATCTGCCAGTGCAGTAAGATAATTACACTTGATAAGAATTCTCAAAATAAGAAAAATAAAACCAAATGAAAGCAGGCAAAGTATACTGTGTACATGACCTTTATTGGAAACAAACCCTCCAAACAGTAACAAATATTTCAGTCAATCATAGTACACAAAAAGTTAAAGACACATTATAAGTGTAACATTGTTATTTTGTGTTCCTTTTCGAACTGCTAAACCAGTTAGCTACTCAACATAAAAAATGTAATAAAAAGAGCATTTGCAATTTTAAACAGAATTTGCAGAACAGATGTGTTTAAATAAAAAAGTACTTTGTATTACATTAATAAGAATTTTTTTAAAAAAAGAATTCAAGTGTAAATTGCAACTTCAAAGCTATCAGGTCCAAACCTTACAACACAGACCTAAGTTATATCTTGCTCAAACAGCTCTACGTTTCAATAAACATTTCTACAGCCTGCCATGACTTTTTTGTATGAGCCTGTGGTGTCTTGCTCATGGATTTTTAACACTTCAGTCTGCGTTGCCACACATTTAGGATAGGTAAGATGCAGGGTGTAGTAGTATGCCATAAGATACAGCAAACCTTCTCCAAGGTCATCTGTGGCAAATGTGGTGATGGGAGTGGTTCCAACTGCAATAAGACAACGGGACCCTTCAAAGAGCAGAACAGGGCTGACGCTGGATCTTCTGTTGGCTATATTCTTCCTATAGCTGCAGAAAAGGCTAACATTGTTATCTTTTTACAAAAAAACAGCTAAACATGAGAGGTTTTTGGACAAAGTTTGTGTTCTCCATTCTTTAAGCACCGGTTTGAGCACCGTTCAAGCACCAGCATCGTTTCAAAAGTACCGGTTTGGCACCAGTATTGGATAAACCCTAAACGATACCCATCCCTACTCATAAGTAACTGATCCTATTATGGCTCTCTACTTGTTTGTTTTTAATTTTTCATATAAATTATTGTCTTGATTATTGTTTTATCGTAAATGCTTTCTTGTAAATGTTTTCTTGTATTTTTAACTTTAAGTGATTTATGTTCTATTTTCATCATTATCATCATTGTTTATTTATATAGCACTTTAAAAACACACAAGGCTGACCAAAGTGCTGAACAATAGAAACATAATAGATACCATAAGAATAATAAATACGATAAAATAATAAACATAGCGAAAACAATAAAATACACGTCAGTCAACCACTGAGTCAAAAGCCAGTGAATAAAAATGTGTTTTCAATCTGGATTTAAAAACCAGCACTGATGTCGATTGCCTAATGTGAAGAGGAAGATTATTCCAAAGCTTAGGAGCCACGATAGAGAACGCTCGGTCTCCTCTCAGTTTCAGCCGTGATTTGGGGACTGAGAGCCACAGCTGCTCAGCTGACCGGAGCGAACGAGTGGGGACATAGGGCTTCAGCAAACCAGACAGATACACAGGTGCCAGACCATTTAAACATTTAAATTTTATTTTATGTGTTTTATTTTAATCATGTAAAGCACCTTGAATTGCCTTGTGCTGAAAGTGTACTATACAAATAAAGTTGCCTTGCCTTGCCTAATCACGAGCCGAGGTGTGAAAACGGGTGTGGGTCCCAATCAGCCAGGGTTTCAGGTGAGCTCATTGTGAAACCCGACCCCACCCTATCATGTGATTTCCTGAGGTCAGATGGCCCAGGGTGTGAGTGGGCGTTAAGGCGTCTGGGGAGGGAACTCAAAACTGGATTATAGATGGCAGACAGTTGGTGTCGTAAACCACCGCCTCTGTTCAAAGATGGTCGCTCACAGGGGACATAAATGGCTTCTTTCAAATCCTCTTTCAAACCATCTGTCCTCTCTGTCCAAAATGTGAACTTTGGCATCCTCAAAAGAGTGACCTTTGACCTTTAGATGCAGGTGGACTGCTGAGTCTTGTCCAGTGGAGGTGGCTCTTCTATGTTGCGCCATGCGCTGGTGAAGTGGCTGTTTGGTCTCTCCGATGTAGGTAGAAGATCATCAGGGGGTCCTTTTGTCCCTCTTTGGGCGGAAACTCCCACTGGGTTTAAATCTGGGACTCTCCACTATTTGACCCTTAGAACTGAAGAAGCTTGTTGGATGAGAGGTGAAACGTCTTCAAGCAACTTAAAGAAGTCCAGACGCTTTTCTTTCCAAGCTTCTTAGACTACAATGACCTGGATTACTGAGAACCTTCACAGACTTTATGCCCTGTGCTTATCTTCAAAGTCATGCTGCTCTATTGTATGTTAATTGCCCCTTGGGGATAAAGGAAGTTTTTCTGATTCTGACTCTGATCTGATTCTGTATCATTGATGTCAAGATTATATGATGTAAAGGTGGTTTCATCATAGTTGCTGTGATCTGAACATGTATGAAGAGACTTCAAGGCGTGAGGTGAACACCTGTGTGTGCGCGCGCACACACACACACACACACACACACAGTGGCGCACGGTGCTGCCTCCCGTTGGGACGGCACAGCAGAGAAGTGCTGTGGCTGTTTGGGTCGGGAGGAAGACAAGTGTCCTCTGCTGCTGCTTCTTCACACAGATCTTGTGAAGAAGAGTCACGCTGAGAGGAAACAATTTGTCTATGATGCTCCACCTACTTACACGTGAAATACTCGGTGGCCAAGTATCAGACTGCAGAACATGTGATACACGCTCGCTTACAGTGTCTCTATTTGCTGCCCGTAGCTTTGAGGCACCGTTAGCCAACATGCTAACAGAGCGGCGGCAGACGGTCAGAAAGCAGTACGAAGCTCAGCAGCAGCGGAGAGCCTTGCAGGACACGACCAATCACCTCTCCTCAACTCTGAATGACACGCCCACCCATCCTCACAATACCATTGCTTCTGTCTTAGTGCTGCCACGTCGCATTGGCCCCTCCCTCCAACTGGACCACACCCAGAAACTGCAGCTACAGCAGCAGCTGCAGCAGGTATGGAAGGTTACCTGTCTCACCCACTTATTCTCCAGGTGTGTTTGCCTGATATCATGTGACCCTTTCTCTCCTAGCATGTGCAACTGCTGACGCAGGTTCACCTGCTGAGTCGCCACATTGCTGCCCTGAATCATGAAGCCTCCATCACCAAACGCTACCTGGTCAGTAAACTTATTACTTGTTATTAATCTCTGTCTCTATTCCACGGCATGTCTTTATCCTGTCTTCCTTCTCTCACCCCCAATCGGTCACAGTAAATGGTCCCGCCCCTCTCTGAGCCTGGTTCTGCCGGAGGCTTCTTTCTGTTAAAGGGGAGTTTTTCCTTCCCACTGTCGCCAAAGTTCTTGCTCATAGGGGGCCATATGTTGGGTTTTTTTCTCTATTATTGTATGGTCTATCTTACAGTTGAGGCTGGGTGTCATTACTGATTTCTACTGATTTTCTATTCGATTCAGACTCAGTCTGAAATATTATAACTCTGATCATTTATCAGCACATATCCATATTTTGTATCTATAAAACAAAGCTGACACTGTGAGACTTCATCAGAGGTGTGACCATCACAGCAGACGTCTTTGTGTCTGAAGCAGGTTTTCCTGTCCTGGCTTTTTATAGCAGAGAACCTTAAAAATATTCTGCAGTCGATCAAAAACTGAAGAAAACCATGAATCAACATGTGAACATGACCTGATGCTGCTGGAGTGAAGCAGAGTCACAGAGGTTTGATTACAGACACAGCTGAGCAATCATTGAAGTCTAAATGTCTTCAGTTTAAACAGCAGAAATGAGGCTTTGCTGTCAGAGGACGACAGCACCGAACACAGCAGCAGAGCGTGATCAGCAGAGAATAATGCAGAAAACAGAGATTTGATGGTAAACTGGTCTCTGAGTGGACTGAGGGAGAGAGAGCTGTGCAGGAAGTAAAACAGCCAAAGTCAGAGAGAATTCATGACGACGTTTCTCAAATGTGAAGTTTGAGCTTCTTTCTGGTTCAGTCAGTTTTGGTCAGAGAGACGAAACCTGCAGAATCTGAGTGTTTCAGCCCCGACGGCTCGTCTGTGGACGATCCACGCTCTGTGGACGATCCACGCTCTGTGTTTCTGCTCTCATCTCCTGGTTGAGCTGATTCTGGAGTTTCTGATAAAATACATTTATATTTAAATCCAGGATTTAATGAATCGAGATCACTTTATTCAGACTGAAATCGATTTAAATCAGGAAATTCATTATTTTTTTAAACCCAGCCCTTACAGTTTAAAGCACCTTGAGGCGACTTGTTGCTGTGTGAATAAGATGAAACTGAACCAGCACTAATGAGCACCTCCACTATCAGGAGGAGCTGCAGCACTTCGCCCGCCATCAGGAGCAAGGCTGCGCCTTCAGCTGTTTCAGGGCATGTAACCTGCAGGGTGCACTGGACCTCCTGCACGAGGTGGAGCAGAGGGACGAGCCTCCACCTGCTCCTCCCACTCGAGCCTCCAGACGCTGGCTCCCCCAGATGACCGCTGCAACCAACAGTAAGGGCAAGCTACCTGTCAGCCATGTTTGATGCACCAAACAGATTCAGGTTCAGATTCTTGTTCTGGTTCTGTTTAGGTCTTGCCTTCCCTCTGCTGGCTGCCGACACCGCCTGGCTGTTCGCCACACGACCCGTGTTCCTATACCCAGAACTACTTCCTGTCTGCAGCCTAGACCCCGCCCTCCACAGCAGGAACCTGAGAACATTATACACGCCAGGAGAGGATTGGTAAAACACACACACTTCCTACATTTTATTTTTTCACATGCACTTTGTGTAAATTTATGGTTTCTGTTCTTCATTGAACTCAGTAAAAACATATTTCCCATCATGCCTCTGTGCAGTCTCATCGTTCTCGGCCTGAAACACTTCGAGGGAGCATTTCAGTCCGACGAGCTTATCAGTTCATACCTGCTCTGTAAGAGTCGATGGAACTTCAGGAAGCACGTCAGAGAGATGAGCAGCCCAAGAGCACCTGACAATGTCATCAAGGTGACATCAGAGTGACCTCACTATGCACCGTGTGACATCATTAGCGAACGTTACATTTCAAATGAATGACTCGGGGCCCAACTTTGTGGTTGTTTTCAGACATTTGTGACGAAGGGCGTCGTCCCGCCGCTGCCCCTCGCCTGCAGCAGAGTCCAGCAGGAGGACCAGCGCCCCCCGGTGGACAGAGATGGTGAAAACATGCCAAACTGGCTGAAGGTTTGAATAGCTAATCCCGATCGTGATCCAGATCCACACCTATAATAGAATATAATAGAATTCCCCTTTATTGTGTGGCTCTGTCTACATCCATTCAGACCCAGGTACAAATCTGCTGGGAGCAAAAGTTGCCGGTTTAGTTTTTGAAAGGACCAGTTTGAACCTGCTAGCCAATTCCAATCTAAAGTTTTTCTTTAAGCGTGACCTGTTGATTCAGATTTTGTGTCTCAGAACTTTGTGTAGTTTCATGCGCTGCTATACGAGTATTGCTCAAACATCATAATCTGAGGCACAGATTGTTATTCGATTATTCTCGTCTGCAGAACAGTCGCCCAAGCATCCAGAAGACCTGCTCAGATGCCCGTTACCCCTCCTGGCTTCCTCCAGGCTGCACTCTCAGGCTCCACCCCAATTATATCAACAGGTACCGCCCCCGGCCCCGCCCCCACAGGCGCGTCTTCGCACTGGCTCATAATGAATCTCTGCTGCCACTCGCCAAAGCACAGGAAGATCCGCCGGTGGAGCCACACGGAGAGAAACAGGTGGACATGCGCTTTTTACCTGTTTCAGGTGTCACGTTATTTTCTGCCCCCACTGCTGTGTCAGGAGCCCACAATACACCACAAACCGTGTCTGCACTGGAGAGCCCCACCCCCTCGACACTTCTACTGCCCATTCCCTCTCTCACAAGTCCTAACACTACAAACACACTGAAGCCGGGCTGCCTCCTCCTCCAGATGGTGTGGACTCCCCCAGCTCCCCCCACCTCCCCCCAAAATGTTTTGGAGCATCACATCCACGGGCCAATCAGTGGGCAGCAGGAAGAGGTCTTTTCTAAGCAGGAAAAGCTAAAGCAGGAAGAGGAGGAGAGCATGGTCTTGGTGTCAACACTCAGCCTGACGTCATGTACAGGAGAGGTGGGAGAAGAGGAGAGGCGGGAGGAGCAGAGACAGGAACAGGAGGAAAAGGAAATTGTTGTTGGTGTCAGTTTGAATGGAGGAGAAAACAATGGTCAGGAGCAGGAGCAGTGGGGACGGGGAGGAGAGGGGGGGGAAGGAGGTGAAGCAGGTGAGAATGAGCAGGGTGGAGAGGAAGAGGAAGGGAGACAGAGGGAGGAGAGGAGTGGAGCGAGAGACAACGGTGGAGAGAAGGATAAGGACGAAGATCAGGACCGGCATGGAGATGATGATGATGATGAGGACTTTGATGACCTCACACAGGATGAAGATGAGGAAGAAGTGATGTCATCAGCATCAGAGGAGTCTGTTCTGTCGGTTCCAGAGTTACAGGTAGATAGAAAGTCTACCTTAAAAGTTTCCACCTTTTGTGATTTAGTGGTGTTGTTTATGCTCATTAATGGCTGCGTACCGCAGGCCTTCATGTTGGCAGTAATTAAACCACTGCTCACGCTAAATCACAGCAACAGTCACCTTAAGGCGCTTATTATTGTAAGGTAGACCCTACAATCGTACTTGTTGTTAATCTCTGTCTGTCTTTATCCTGTCTTCCTTCTCTCACCCCAACCAGTCACAGCAGATGGCCCCGCCCCTCCCTGAGCCTGGTTCTGAGAGGTTTCTTCCTGTTAAAAGGGAGTTTTTCCTTCACACTGTTGCCAAAGTGCTGCTCACAGGGGGTCATATGATTGTTGGGTTTTCTCTGTATGCATTATTGTAGGGTCTACCTTACAATATAAAGCGCCTTGAGGCAACTGTTGTTGTGATTTGGTGATGTTTAAATAAAAGTGAAACGGGTTTTATTGCCGGCCTCCTCATTGGTCAGAAGTTGCCTCTGATCATGTATTTTTACTCCGACACAGAGAGAAAAGTTCAGGTTTGAGGAAACAAAGACTAAAGATTTTCTCGTGTTCTTGTGTCTGAGGCAGAAACTGAAGCTGAATAGAAAACATTTTTTAAATGTCTTTCCTTTTAGTAGAAGCTCATCAGCACAAACAGCTGCTGAAATGATAGACAGAGACTTTATTGATCCTAAAATGGACATTTGTGTTACAGCCAGTGTTGGGCAAGTTACTTTGAAAAAGTAATTACTTATAGTTACTAGTTACTTCTTCAAAAAAGTAACTGAGTTACCATATTCTAAAAGTAATTAATTACTTGAAAAGTAACTATTGCGTTACTTTAAAAAACATTTAACCCTCTGGGGTCCAGGGTATAATTGACCATTTTTAACTACTTTTGATTTTCCCTCCACATTTCACCTTTAAAAACGATTTACTTTGCCTTGTTTGGTATCATCCTTTTCAGCACAACCTCACGTGTCTGAATTTACAGTCATGTTTTCATTTTGACAAACTGTATTAACAGAATTGATCTAAAATCAGACAAAAAACATGATATTTTCACTGTAACAACCACAAACATGTTTAATGAATCATATTTCATAACTTTAAATGCAAATATAAACTGCCAATTTTAAAATCCTATGCACAAGTTTTGCAAACAAGTCATTTGCATCCATTTACCTTTTACCTTGATTTTTTAAATAACCATTTCAAACTATTTAGAGAACAATCAGCTGTTCTTCAATAAGATGCCACAAATTATTTGTGCCAAATATTTCTGTCCACTATAAAGGAAACATCACAGCTTGATACCTGCAGGTCTGACAGCAGCAGGTGTGTCACTGCTGTTTCTACCTGGAGACAGCAGTCGCCTCATTGTTCCGACACACAACACAAAACTATCCACAACACTACACACTAACTACACAAGACAACACATTAACTACACACTCCAAACACGCTAAACGTCACAAATCTCTCACATCTCAAAACTCGCTCTCTCTCTTTTTCTGCTGTCTCTCTCTCTTGCTCTCTCGCCGTCACTCCTAAAACTTTCCCTGTTTTTTTTTTGTTTGTTTGTTTGTTTGTTTGTTTTTTGCTCATAAGCAGAGAGTGCTCGCTGCGCTGTCCTTAGACAGTAAACGTGACGAAACTATTGAGGAAAAACACGCGTATATATTGTTTATCATGACTCTGGTTTTACAGTTTATAAACTGGTATATATCACCTTGTTGCTTTGTCATCTTTAAGTGGTCATGTGATTGGCTTACCACGACTACTTTATTCTTCCTCAGTCAAACAGCAGCACTCATGCGATTGTTTTGCCCCCTGAGCTCCAGGTGTTGTGCCAGAAAGTCATCGTCGGGCAGAAAGTGATTGCCGTCCACGGGAGCGCAGCTGCTTAAAGGTGTAGCGCCCAGATTACTTACAGCTACTTTCTGCAGCTGATATAAGCTGCTGTAAGCTGAACACAGCTTCAACCGTCTGTTTGTTGAAAAATAGTAACGGACCGCATTTTCTTGTTAGTAACTGTAACGGCATTGTAACGATAGGAATAGCAATTAGTTAGATTACTCATCACTGAAAAAAGTAACGCCGTTACTTGTAACGCCGTTACTTGTAACGCCGTTACTTGTAACGCCGTTACTTGTAACGCCGTTA